TATCTTTTCAGGGGCATTTTGGGTATTTTAATCAAAACATTTTGTAATCAGCATCAGGTGGTTCTTGTATTAGTTCAGGTAACAAAAATATCTTATAAATATTTTTATCTTCCATATTTTCATATTTTAATCTCTAATTTTTCTGAAATGAATTCATAGATTGCTCTATTAGTAATCTGCACTTGGAATGACTTATTACCGGAGGAGGAAAATAATCTAAAAGATCAAATGCAATACTTTACAAGGTTTTCAAAATTGTTTTTATTATAAATCCTATATTATTTTTTTATAAATCTAACTACTTTTTATAAAAATGTAGATAATCACTTCTGCCCTCCAAGAAATTGTCGAAACAAAAGTACAAAATTAATTGGACTTTTGACATCAAGAGAGGAAATACCAAACTTGTTGAAGGTTTGTGGAAAATGTCGTATGCTTAATTATATATTTACTTATTCACATGTTTATAAACACTTTTTAAATCAACTTTGCTTATGGAAACCTATTTTTTTTAGGAAACACTACTTGTGCACAAGGGCTTGACTAATGAAGGGCTGCAAGATCTTGTTAAAGAACTTGAACAAGAAGGTACAACATCTTTTCTAAAATAGTTTTTTACCACCCCTTTAGGGTTAAAATGTAGTTTTATCTCATTGCAGGTGTTACATTGTTTTTTGGACAAGAGTGAAAGAGTGATCAGTTTGGTTAACTTCAGGAAGACAAATTGATTCCATTACAAGTACAAATTCAAGGCTTGCAGAATTTAAGTAGTTACATTTTCAAGGATCAAGTTTCGTGTTTGTTCTCCAACAAGTATTTAGTTTGATAGTATTATGTTTAGAGTACTAGTACAACATTTAGACTTGTTGAACTATTTTGAAGACTATTGTTCTTAAATATATTTAGAATATTGTTGTTAGACAAGTTTGAATTTTATGTAATGATATTGTGTTTCCATTTGCAATCTTAATTGTTTATTGCTATTTTATATTCCATTTAAAATTTTAAAAAACCGGAACAAATTTATTAATATAATTTTTTTTGTGTTAAAAAGTGACACTAAAAACATGTAAATAATATTTATTTTAATAGTTAAATAGTAGCATAAAAATAGTGCCACTAAAACCTACAAGTGCTTTAATGACATAATTGAAAAGTGCTACTAAATCCCAATAAGACTGCAGCGGCGCAACCAAAAAGTGTCACTAAAGGCCTTTAGTGGGAGCGCTTGTAGTTGCACTATTTTTTGTGCCGCTGATTCTCTAGGGGGCCTTTAGTGGCACTTTTTCGGTTTTTTAGTGTCACTTTTTCTATGCCACTAAATGTTAATTTATTTGTAGTGTGTGATATGTGTTTCAGGTACTTCTCAGGATCGCGGGAAGACGCCGGCTTGATTGTACACACACTTGAGATGGAGTTTATGTTTTGTGGATCCTGGATTTTATCAAACGATTATTGACTTTGTGTTTTGGCAATTTGATACTCATGGTTTTGGAATGTGATAATGAGAATTATGTGTTTTAAAAATGAAAATTTTGTTTGAAAATTTACGGTGTTACAACTATTATGCACACTGTGAATCTAAGAATGTTCACAATGTGAATCTGAGAAGGTTCACAATGTCAATCTGAACAAGTTCACAATGTGAATCTGAACTGAAATATCGATTATTTTTTATTTTTTTTATTTTTTTATTTTTTTATTTTTTTATTTTTTTAACATAAATATGAATCTATGTTTAAAGAGTACCAAAAAGTATGAATTTTGATATATTTATTAATTTTTTTATATAAAAAAATAGACATTTTTTTCCAAAAACTAAGAAAATGAAGTGAGTTTTTTGAAAAAAAAATTATTTTTATACATCAATATGGATCTCTATGGAAAGAAGACGAAAAATCACGAGCAATGATATAGTATGTTTTTTTTTTGATAAAAAACATGGCGTAAAAAAAATTAAACTAAAAAAAAAGGGTTTTGTTATAATCCGGTGCATTGTAAAAGTCTACAATCCTTTCATTTTTTCGTTGATCGTTTTAAATTTCGACGTTTTGTATTGAATCTTTTATTAATAATGTTTTCTATTGAACTTATATATATATATAGTATTTGAGACAATAAATCCATTATGGATTTACACGTGAAGCATCGCACGTAAGCAAATCTCAATGTAAAAGATTCTCTGAGATTTAAGATTTGATCAGATTCGTGCATGCTACAACGTACCCCTGTGGATTTCGAATAAGCCTTCTTACATCGAGGTTCAATTACTTTTTCGTCATGTTCACGTTTACGTAACTTCATTTTTTTTTGTACATATTTGACTATTTAACTTGTTAAATATGTTCACATATTACCATTAGCAGGTGACAATGGTAATATGTGAACATATTTAACAAGTTAAATGGTCAAATACATAAAAAAAAAGAATGTTGTCTAAATGTGAATAATTTTTTTTTGCAAATTTCTTAAATTTTTTTTATAATTTCTTAAAACATTTTTATGATATTTTTTCACATTTTTTTTTACAAATTTCTTAAATTTTTTTATAATTTCTTACAACATTTTTATGGTATTTTTTTTTCTTATAGGTTTTTCTAATACAATGTTTTAAACTTTGCATATAATATTTTATAAATGTTTTAAAATTCTCTTACAAGTTTTTTACTTGTTTTTTTTACATTTTCATACAATTTTTCTATAACTTTCATATATTTATTTCTAAACTTTCTTTACAATATTTTTAAAGTGTTTCACAGATTTGTATGACAATTTAATACTTTGTTATAACATTTTAAAATATTTTCGTTAAATGCTAGTTTAAAACGGTGTATTATAAAAAAATTAAAAGTTTATAAACTTCTAAGTAAAAAGCATTAAAAAGTTTGAATAATTTTAAAACATTTACATTATATTTATTTTTTTTGTTTTTTTTATTTGGTAAGTAATTTTTTTTTAATTTTTTAAAAGACCCTCCGTACTTATTGTTACATATTTAATTTATTTAATTTTATTGTTAGATGCTATTTACTTTAAAAATATTGTATATGCTTCAAAACAAAAGAAAAAAAATATAAGAGGTTATATAAAACATTTCACAAAACAAAAACATATTTATTAATTAAAAAGTGAAGTTTAAAATTGATAAATATTTAATTAATATTTAGGAAATTATGGATATTTTAAAAATAACGTTTGAAAAAAATAATACAAACAAATATGAAAAATTAAATCGCTATTAAAAGTGGGGAAAATGACTTATCAGGGTAATTAACTTTTCGTTTTGTTCACATTTAGACAACTTTCTTTTTTGTACACATTTAACCATTTATTTTGTTAATTTGTTCACATATTACCATTGTCACCTGCTATAGCCGATGACAATGACAAAGATGGTTACCCTTGTAAGTCATTTTCCCTATATGTAAACAATATTTACATAATTACATCAATGTTCAAAACCACAATACAACTAATACTTGAATAATACATTTCAATACTAGACAAATATACTAATTTAATCTTCAACATTAGGTCGTATGTACGGTCGGTAGTAAATAAATGTTTTAAATATTTGTTGTAAATGTATGTCTTAAATCGACGACGGACAAATATTTGTCCGCTATTCTGAATCACAGCTTTTAATGACAATTATCGGTTATCATAGCCTTTTACGACAACAACCTTTTTGTAGTAGTATTATAACCGGGCTTTTAACATTTTAGAGTGAATTGCGTAGGGGTGAGCATTTGGACCGAACCGGACCGGACCGACTCTTGGACCGGACCGGTTATGGAGAATATTGTGGACCGTGGACCGGATCGGATGAGTCATGTCCGTGTCCGGGTCCGTGTCTAGGTCCGGGTTTTCCGGTTCTTGGACCCGTTTGGACCGGTACAACTTTAATTGCATAGAGTACAAGTCGTTAGAATAAGTTTTTGGGTTTGATAGAACTCGTTAAAACGAATATGTTGTTGGGTTTGATACGATACAACTTGTAAAAATAATTACGTTTCCGTTTCATGCATAACTAATCTACCTTGATGTTATAATATTATAACTTGCAAAATTAATTTTCCAAATAAAAGCAACTAAAATATAAATCAAGTTCACCAAGATCTCTTTCATATGATTTATCTGTCAAAGATACATAAAATTCAGAATTATAGTCTAAAATAATAGTTAAAAAGCTGAAATATTTCAGCTTTGATAGCTCAACTTTGAAGGATTGTAACTCACTGAACAAAATACCAAAATCAACAAAATTATAGTCTAAATTCATCTACAAACTGTAAACTAAATGTTGGAAAAAACCGCAGGTCAATCCGACTTAAAACGAATGAGTTATTGTTGTTTAAAAAAAAATCACAAATTACAAAATTTTAAAAATCTTGCTGAAAAGCTGAAAATTTTCAGCTTTGATAGCTCAACTTTGAATGACTGTAACTCATTGAATATAATACCAAAATCAACAAAACTATAGTCTAAATTCATCTATAAACTGTAAATTAAACGTTGGAAAAAACCGCGTGTCAATCCGACCTAAAACGGATGAGTTATGGTTGTTTACAAATTTTCACAGATTAAAAAATTTTAAAAATGTTGCTGAAAAGCTGAAACTTTTCAGCTTTGATAGCTCAACTTTGAAATACTGTAACTCATTCAATATAATACCAAAATCAACAAACTTATAGTCTAAATTCATTTACAAACTGTAAATTAAACGTTGGAAAAAAACGCGTGTCAATCCGACTTAAAACGAATGAGTTATGGTTGTTTAAAAATTTTCATAAATTACAATTTTTTTTTTAAATCGGGTTTAACCGAATGCTCACCCCTAGAATTGTGTATTCCGTTTTTGGAAAAAAAAAATTAAAGAAAGTTTAGTTAGAAAGATAGCAATTGAAGGAAAATTTTGTCAATTTGTTGCGTTTTGGTGGTAAATAGTTAATAATTAACAAAAACAATTACGTTTTAACACATAATGTGTAAAATTAAATACGGCAGTTTTGTCTTCTTGATACTTCTTCAATTCATGGAACAAGACCTGATAGATATATAGCTACTTTATTCAAGCCTACAAACTGATTTATATAATCGAGGTGAAAATGTTCTCGTTTCTCATCAGTTGCCTTTGGCCTTCTTCATACTCCAAGCATCTAACCTTGGGATAACCACATCAAGACTCCCATTGTTGAAAGCATAAACATGGGCTTTGTTATAAACAGAAATTTTTGGATAAACTCTAGCCGTAATGCATGCTCTCCCTTCAGCTCCAAAACTCTCAATCACTGAATTGTCTACCTGAAAAGAGCAAAGAACAATTACAAAATATGGAACTTAATAAAAAATAGTTATAATCTGCAAGAGTTCAAACATTAAACAACTTCATACCAAGCTCCTAAGTGAAATCATTTTATCTTTGTGGTTTATGTAGATAAAAGCTCCGTAGGTAGTTTTATCAATTCCTTGTCTCAGGGAAGACCTGGAAAAGTTCAAATTGAAAGAATATGAGATGTGGGTCATCTACAAGAAGTAAAAAGTGCATGAACAAGATGCCTTATATTAATCAATATAAATGTATGAGATTATGAGAATGAACCTGCTTTGATCACTACACATTAGAACAACGAATTGATGGTTATGGTTGTCTTTAAACACACGGAAGAAGACTGCAGTTTGTTCTGTCAAGTCTTGAGAAGCCATTAACAATAACCCAAATGGACCTGCTCCACCAATGACGCTCGATGTCTTTGTGCTACAAAGAAGTTGAGGATCATTCCATTTGGGGTCCAACACCTCGACCTCTTCTACTTTTGGCAGCATAAAGGAGACTTCTATGTCAACCTAGGCAATGAAATTATAAAATGTATCAAGGGTTAGAAAATCGGATTTTTGAAAGAACAAAATTATAACAGAGATAACCTGTGAGGCTGTGATCCCTGAAACTTCAAATAATGATTCTCTTTTTAGCTTCTTCCCAAAATAACTAACATGCTTCTCCCGCAAATTTTCAGTTTCCTTAACTGGCCATTGTATCAGCTGGCGTCGAGTGGAGTCCAGATAAACTTGACGAGGGATAGACTGCAACTCCCATCAAAACTAGTCATTACTATGGTGCCTTAATATGGTTTATTAACAAAGTAAAAATTAGTAATAAAGCTGCTATGATTTTGTTAAAAGAAAGTTGGATGTTAATATTTTTTGGACAAAATTACAAAAATTGTCCCTATGGTTTGCTAAAAGTAACAAAGTCAGTCCCTGCTAATTTTTTTTGATGCAAATGGCCCATGTGGTTTGCAAAACTTGCATAGATGACCCTTTTTACTAACGCCGATGCAAATGGCCCATGTGGTTTGCAAAACTTGCATAGATGACCCTTTTTACTAACGCCGTTACTATTCTGCCGTTAGGGACTGAATCCGTAAGGGCATTTTCGTCTTTTCAAGTATAAAGGGACTGAATTCGTGACATTTACTAAACCACAGGGACCATTTTTGAAATTTCTTTGAAAAAAAAATTAAATTGCTAGGGGGAGGTCTCGAACTCATGACCTCCACCCCTTAAATTACCAAAGCCTTAACCAATTAAGTTGAACGCTCTCTTGGTTTATTCTTTCCTAAAACTAATTTATATATTAACAAAATCGTTAAAACACAAACAAAAAATAAATTATAAAAAACATTTTTTTACATAATTTTTTTTAAATAAAACAAAATGTATTTTAGTCGTACTGTAAAAAAATAGTTTTTTACAAACAAATTGTATGTATTTTGATGTATTTATTTTACGTAAAATATATATTTTTTGTCTTTAAAAAATACGTTTTCGTATAAAAAATACGTTTTTGTAAAAAATACGTATTTCATCTTAATCACAAGTTCTAAATCATATGGTTAAAATGAAGATGGAAAGACACAGTGATATATCTTTTTGAAATAACAATTATTAACACTACTCTTGACATAAAAAAAAAACCGTATAAATTGTTTAAATACATAACAAAATCGTTGTTAATTTGTTTTTAATACATATAACCGAAAAAACGGTTAGAACTAGCGACCAAAAGAATCTATACATTTTTTATGTCATGAGTAGTGTTAATTATTACTATTTCAAAGACATAAAAAAACATTTTTTACAAAAACATATTTTTTATACGAAAACGTATTTTTTAAAGACAAAAAATATATATTTTACGTAAAATAAATACATAAAAATACATAAAATTTGTTTGTAAAAAACTATTTTTTTTATAGTACGACTAAAATACATTTTGTTTTATTTAAAAAAAATTATGTAAAAAAGTGTCTTTTATAATTTATTTATTGTTTGTGTTTTAACGATTTTGTTAATATATAAATTAGTTTTAGGAAAGAATAAACCAAGAGAGCATTCAACTTAATTGGTTAAGGCTTTGGTAATTTAAGGGGTGGAGGTCATGAGTTCGAGACCTCCCCTAGCAATTTAATTTTTTTTTTCAAAGAAATTTCAAAAATGGTCCCTGTGGTTTAGTAAATGTCACGAATTCAGTCCCTTTATACTTGAAAAGACGAAAACGCCCTTACAGATTCAGTCCCTAATGGCAGAATAGTAACGACGTTGGTAAAAAGGGCCATCTATGCAAGTTTTGCAAACCACAGGGGCCATTTGTATCAAAAAAAATTAGCAGGGACTGACTTTGTTACTTTTGACAAACCACAGGGACCATTTTTGTAATTTTGTCTATTTTTTTAGTATAGCTAAATACCTGGAGTCCAGCCCATTGTTTCTTGATATCATCAGTTGAACTATCTGACTCGTTTATCCAACCCCATAGTATCCTCCTATTCTTCACACTATCAAAAAATGTCTTGGATGCATAGAACTTTCCATAATCATATCTCAAGTCTGAGCTACTTCCAGTTAGACCTTCATCATCTGGTAAGAACTTTTCTTTATCGGCATCATAGCTTCCAATTGTGTAGTAGTCATGTGATTTAAAGCTTGCTTTCAGCACATACTTGAGGTTTATTCTGATCGCTGAGTTCTCAATCCCATCTCTACTGTTAATAGATACAGGATAAAAGTCTGGACACTCCCATATATTAGTATTCTTCCCAAAATAAAGTGGCTCGTCATGCAAGCTCCAGTGAACAAAATCTTTACTCCTATAAAGAATTGCCACTCCTAGATTGTTTCTCAAACCACCTACAACTACCCTCCAATTCCATCTTCCCCCCTCCAAGCTGTACTTGGATCACGGAAATTGTCTGGTTTGACTCCATGAGGTGGAGTCATGATGGGATTACCAGAATATTTCTTCCATTCTTTTAGAAAAGGGTCTGATAAATTCTTTGGCATTGCAAGATTCTGAACTTGCTGATTCTTGGAATCGAGTCCAGTGTACAAAACCACTGGTTTGTTTCCTGGAAGGATTGTTGTGGAGCCTGACCAGCAACTGTTGATGTCAAACGGCTTGGTTGGGACAATGGCGTTCTTGAGGTGAATCCAGTTTACCAAATCATGGGAAACTGAATGACCCCATAGGATTGTTTTATTAAAGATTGCACCATAAGGATTGTATTGATAGAATAGATGATAAACTCCCTTGTAATGCATTGGACCTATCGCATTAAATGAATGATCAGAAAACAAAACTTATAATCTCTCAAAACATCTTACTAATTAAAGTAACTTAAGGGATTACCATTAGGATCTGTATGTTAAAATACCCGCCAAAAGATACAAAACCATGCAAAGAGAATAAAAATGGAGTAAGTACTGTTTAAAATAACAAAAAAATGAACATATAACAACAACAACAACAAAAAAAACAGGGTGAACGCACGATTATGGTTATATATGTCGCAAAGTTAAAATACCATTCAGCCAGTTCTTTGGGGGTCGGAGATGGAAATATGGTCTCCCTGGTTGGTTTTTGGGACTTGGATCCCGATAAAGAGGCATAATATGAGAAGTATCAGAAACCTCCTTCCCATTGCTAAGCAGAATACAACACATGTATACGACACAATAAACAGAAGCCTTCATTTTGAGGTCACTTGCAAGAATGCGAAGTTTAGTCAGAAGTTCAGCCGTATTTAAAGGAATTCAATTCTAAGAGAAACGTGTTAGTCGCAATCATGCACCACAATCAATAACATAAAAGCATAGGCACTTATTGCGTGATTTGATATCTTGACCCATTTATTTTCCCTTGTCATAAAAAATAATTGTGGATAGGGATTGCTCAATTGATTCGAACTTGATGGAAGCACCAAAGGTTTCATTTTGTAAATTACAATATTTTGAGGAAAAAAAACATTTATTGTGTGGGACCAACTACATTTATTTCGAATCAATGTAGCTGAGATTACGTTTGTTAAGTTTTGAACTTGTGTTCATGAACATAGAACACGGAATAAGAAATGACCTTCTTCCATTTAGTGGAACCTGGGGCCTCTTCCGAATGATCAAATAATATGCCTAACTTCCACTTCTAAGTTCTAAGTGCTAATATTCTTGGCAGCATTCAGAAAGCATCTATTTACAGGCCAGTAAGACATACCAGCTTAGCTAGACCAATTTGTTGCCTGATTGATGAAGTCATCGTCATGAAAAAGGAAAAAAATGGAAGTGGTTTGTTGGGCCATATGACATATAGGTATAATGAATGTGGTGGTTTTGGGAGGTGGCAGAATCCTTGGTGATGGCAACTTTGACAAGTGTAGTGCCTAAAGCATTGTGGTAGTAGGTAGGTTTTAGTGGCAGTTCCTTCAAGAATGGAGAATCAAAGTGCACGAGGATGGTCCAAAATGGTGGACCTGGAGAAGGGATCTATGCATGCGCAACATAATGCAACGTTTAGAAGGAAGATTTTGTTCTTCATGTCTTTGTTAGAAAGATGCACACATGTATAATCTCATCGAGTTTCACTCGTGTTGTCGATGGTGTCCCACAACGATTCTTGTGGAGAGAACTTCAAGAACTCCATATATCTCACAAATCTTGATCTTTAATTTGCTATATCATATGATTTTCACCAAAGCATTGTAATGGCATAATGGCATGACTGCTGTAATTTATACTAAGGGATAAAATTGAAATAGATAATTTCGAATTAGGACTATGCGCCTCAGGTGTTCCTCCAGGTAACTGAAAGTAAACGCTTCCTTCGATGGTTCGGCACTGAGAAATCTTTAACCTGAATACACACACAATTCACACAATTCATAAGCCGAAGACCGTGAAGACTTTCCCGGACCAACGCTTCCATGATAAAGTCAAAATCACATAGATATGAAATCGTAATTCGTTATGTGAATGAATTCGATTGAACATGCCTCCTAATTTTCCAGTAGCTGATATTTACGTTCTCCTCGGGAATCATTGTTTCTTCCTACCGAGCATGTTTTAGTCTTATCACATTCATTTCTTGTAAGACCGAAGGTATAAACGTGTGTACATAAGTAACGTCATTAGTCACTTCTTACTAGTCTTAGGTACTGTCATTAATCAAATGTATTATAACATGTTCTATCGTTAGTTCCGATGTTTAACATCTTCCTTCTTTACTTAGATTTGTCTTGCACCCGAAAGGCAGATTGACTACTCGGGTGACCATCACTCGTTTGGTCATTGTAGATGACGTAATTGGTTCGTTAATATTGAGAAGGTCCTTCTCGGTAAGGTTGTATGCGTAGTTCGGGAATATACCCTATTAGGGACCAATATGTTGACATTGATAGTGTAATGCCAGATTTTCAAGTTATACTATAGTTCAGGGACTAATATATTTAGGGACGTACTTGAATACTTTCGTATTAAAAGAGTTCTTTGAGGTGCTTGCAACCGATGAAGTTTTCATTCGAAATTAAACAAGTCATAGAGGGTTGTTGACCCATAACCACAAATCTAGGAGAGATGTATGATAGAAGAGGAATGATGGATGACTCATCCTTCCTTGGAAAGAGAAATGCATCCAACCAAAAGTAGTTAGAAAAGAGAAGTGTAGGATGTTCAATTCTTTCCAGGAGAGAGAAATGAATCTTTCCCAAGTTAAAATATCGCATTCTCATCTTTAAATCAGACTATGCTCGGTATCAGTTACACCGAATATGTTTTCGTATTTCTTCGTGTTTCACGTGAGTCAAATCTTTGGTAAAGATATTCGCTCGTTGATCCTTCGAATTAACATATTCGACTATAACTTGTGCTTTTTAACGCGCTCTCATATGAAATGAAAGTGAATGTCACTATTCTTGCTTCGATCATGAAACATGGGATTTTTCATCAAGGCAATTGTCTACTTGTTATCGACATACACAGTGATAGGTATGATGTGACATCTCGTAAGCTCCTTCATGAGGTTCCTAAGCCAAATGGTGTGACATGTCGCCACTATGGTTGCCATGAACTCGAATTTACACGTCAACAAAGCAACAAATTATTCTTTTGATATTACCACGTAACAACATTCTTTCTTCCAAGATTAAAACTCATGTTGCTTGTCCTCTTGATCCTAACTATGTCACCTCCAAGATCACTATCAGTAAACCAAATTAGGTCTTATTTTTCACCACCCATTCCATGGTTGAGTCCATGGTTAATGGTTCATTTTACATACTATAAGATATGCTTTAGTACTTGGAAATGCAACATGGTTTGTTCCTTTATGAAACGGATTGCAATTCCCACCGCAAATGACAAATCCAATTGAGTGTGCTTTAAGTACTTCAAAAACCAACCACTCACCTATATTTAGTTGGTCGACTTTTTCACTGTCTTCATCCTTCTTAACCTTCAAATTCGGTTCCATTGGTGAAGTTTTTGGGTTGTAATCTAGTTATCTGAACTGCTCCAAAATCTTCTTTGTATAAGTCGTTTGTCGTAAAAATATTCCCCACTTATTTTACGACACTTCAATTCCAAGGTAGTAAGAAAGTAAACCCAAGTCACTCACTTTGAGTTCTTTTTTCTTTTATTCCATGAAATCGATAATGTCTTTGGGTACCTTTTGTAAATTGTCATGTCTTGTAAGCATTTCGAAAAACTGAGTCATTTTAAGCGTTTATCCAAATGAATGTTCCAAGATCGAGGAGCTTGTCGTAGACCATCAAGAGCTTTAGAGAGCTTAAACACCTAATGAATATGTACTTTATCAACATGTCATTTCAATTTGGTGACATTGACCACCTTCTTGAGATCGTTATTGAGAAAAGTCGACTTAACATCAAGATGGTGGATAACCCACCCATGTTGAGTCGCTAAAGCAAAAATAAGTCACGCGATGTCAATATGTGCTACCGGTGAAATAACTTCATCAAACTCAAATCATTGGTTTAGTACATAACCTTTTTCATCAAGTCGAGCTTTATCTTTCACCATATTTTCCAAGTTTTCTTTGTTCACCTTAAAGACTCATTCAAGCCAATTGTGTTGTAGTCGAGCGGAAAATCAGTAAGTTGTCATGTCTTGTTTTTCTAGATTTCATCCAATTCCATTTGCATTGCATCACGCCACACTTTTTAGGTTCCATTAATAGGATAGATTAATTCCATTACTAGTATATGATTTAGAATATTAAACGAGTTAAATTAGTCATCAACTTCCTACAAACATAAAACATATCAATCACTACGATCATTCACTCAGATCAATTATTCAAATAAATCGGATCCCTTAATCAGATCACTCATATCAATATTAGTCATTCTGATCAATCACTTGGATCTATCATTTGCTCAGATCAATCGTTCATATCAATCACTCTAATCACTATCAACTACTCAAAATCTATTACTCGGATTGCTCAAATCAATCAAATCAATCTCTCAAATCGATATCATCCATGCAGATAAGTTACTCGGATTAATTACTCAAATAAATCTTAATTTCTTAGATTAATCACTCCGATCAATTACTCAAATCAACTGGATCAATTACTCCGATCACTCAGATCAATCGGATCAATAACTCAAATTACTCATAGCGGATCTCATATTGGGATTAGACCTCATCACCTCTCAGAGATTTATCCTTATATCTCGTAAATCAATGATTAAGTCTCGTCACCTCTTGGAAACTTAATCACATATATCTTAATGATCAATCTTGTATCATAATTAGGCCTCGTCACCTCTCGAAGACCCAATCACAAAATATCATCTACATGTAAGTCAAATCGTCTACATGTACGTCAAATTGTCTACGTGTATGTCAAATTGTCTACATGTAAGTCAAATCGTCTACATGTATGTCAAATCGTCTACATGTATAATCATGTGTAAGCCTATGATCTCGATCAAAATTCTCATTTATCTCGATCTTTCACAATGAGATCCAATCACCTCTCATGGATGTAACATCCCAAGATTTGTCATTTATAGTCCCTCAGGATAGAAGGGTGAAGCCATGAAATTCTAAGGGCTAATTTGCAATTATTGGAATCAGGAGGAGTACGCTGCACGTACATATGGGTACGATGGGCGTATTAGGCGCGCCCTAGTACGCTGGGCGTATACTTGTATACATTGGGCGTACTCATGGCAGAAGGAAACCCTAATATTTAGGGTTTGCGGACTATATAAGCAACATTATGAGCACAAGACCCTCCCTTACCCCAGCCTCCACTGCTTAGACTCGTTGTCCCCAAACCCTAGCCATTTCCTTGTGTGTTTGAGCTTTTGAGTGTTTCTTGAGTGTTTTAAGAAGAAGGTGTTGCATCAAGGAGTTGGAGAAGAAGATCAAGCTTGTAGATATGAAGTTGGTTTGTGCCCTAGAAGCTCCAGAAGGTAAAAAGCTTGGAACTTTATACTTGTATGAGATAGATCTAGTCATTTTAACTTTATGGAAGCATTCTTGTCCCAAAAGTCCCAAAATGGTGCATGTTATGATTTGGACGAAATGAGATGTCCTTTCAGACCTTAGAGGAGGTCCTAAGTGATAAAAATGGTGTCCCAATAGCTAGGTTTGTCTCATGCATGAAGTAGGAAGGTCTTAATGGATTAAGACCATGTGTTAAGAACTTTTTGGACGTCCGAAGTGATAAAGTTCGAGACTTTATAGTCCTATG